TCAGTGAGCAACCCTTAGGCTGCATAATGTTCTGATCTCAACCATGCACTGGATGGTTTGTATAGACGTAATATTTTAAGACATTTTTATGCTTATACTTTCTTTTTACAGAACCATCATATTGCCTGACGTGCCTTAACCGATCGAGCCACGGATGATCGTTCGATTAGCAACGTCGATTTTACTGTCTTTAAACTTCAATCTTCTATGAATCTCTCATGTGCATTCATATCTGCTCAAAGCGTATCCAAATGTAAACAAATGACGTCACACATTATGAAATGGACAAAGTCTGACAATTATTTTAAGATATTTATTATAAAACAGAGCTTTTACTTATATATTTGTATCTATAAAAAGAATGTATAAACATAAAAATGTCTTTTAATCTGCAAAAAATTGAATGCAATGTCAATCACTATCTACTGTCCTCTTGATCACTCTTTTTTTTTCAATCATTATTAATGTTTCTGTTCCTAATTTCCTCACAGCTTGTAACCCCTTAATCATTTGAGAGACCCCTCTCTGCCTTCTATCAACATGAAGTGACTCGTTATGCCTTCTTGGACTAATGTTCTCAGCTGACATGAAGTGGAAAGACTAAATTGAATCCATTGCCAGATCAGCTGCCAAGGAAGTCAGTTCACTGTGTCATGTAAGACAATTTTCCCTCCAGAATCTATCTTACATATCTATAAGTCTACCATTCACTCATGCTTAGAATATTGCTGCCACATATGATCTGGTGCCCCTTCTATTTACCTAAATCTCCTTGGTAAAATCCAAAGAAGAATCAGCAATATTATTGGTCTGGATCTGGCAGCTCAGCTTCAGTCAGTTTCCTACCGCCATAAGGTTGCCTTTCTGTGCTTTTTCTATAAATACTTTCATGGTAATTTTCCAGATGACCTTTTCGCTATGATGCACAGACTGTATGAATTTAATCACAATACTAGACTAGCGGTGAGATGTCATCAATTTACAATTGAGCTACCTAGATGTAGCCGTAACTTCTATGCTAAAAGTTTATTTTCTCGCTCTTCTCGTTTATGGAACTCCATTCCGGCTCCATACGTTCCAGCCAACTTTAATCTGCAAAATTTAAATTCAATATCAATCATTATTTATTGTGCTCTTGAATACACTTTTCTCTTTCTTATTACTTTTGCTTTTGTTCCTAATTCCTCCACACCCTGAACCCCGCCCCTTGCATATTAGTGGCTGTACTGTCTGTTTGGGGGTGATACCGATTAAGAAAATCTCTTTATAGTTGAATATACTCTACTTCCACTACATAGAAGATGACACCTCCTTCCAAATTGACCCCCTTAACCCCCACCTTAAAGTACACTAGACAGACATGCTTACAGAGGTGATGAGGTCTCCGACACACACACTCAGACATATATATACATTACACACGCACCCCCAAAATTAAAAGATAACATATGCATAACACACATCCCCTTCTCAGCAATCAATAAAGCTGTCAAAAAGATTAAAGTAGTATATCAGAGACTTATGGGTTTCCTGATCTCTCCTTTAAATCAACGTGAAAAATATTATTGTCGAATCCGAAAACTGACCAAAAATGTACACAGTTCAAGTTCAACTTCTTCAAAGATTTTCATTTACTCCAGTAGTTCACTGCTATTAATAAACATGAATTTTTTCTCCTGATGATGTCTATTCTGACCGAAACTAATCATATTAATATGGCAATAAAGATGAGGATAACAGTCCGAACAATGTAAATAATGTAAATAAGAATGTTCCTCGTCAAGTCCTACATACTTCATACGCTTCTAGTCACCATTTACCATTGGTTTGAGAAAGTGGTTATATAGGTTTAGATATTCCTGAACTTGTTTGGCGCCAAGCACGCCTTCTATATAAATGCTGACGAGACTATTTAAGAACGAGAGTTGAGTTTCTTGGTTAATGCTTTGGTTTTGTTGTAATTCACCCAAAACCGTTGATTAAAGTTTCATTAAAGTTTCATTTTGTTCAACAAAATAATGTTGATATTTTTTATTAAAAGACGTTCTTTTCACGAAATGAAAATGTTTCTCATTTTGTTAGATTTCATAAGTCTATGAGAGAGAGAATGAAGTTCAGTTCTTTCTATGTTGCTAAATCTATTCTCTGTTAACTGAGCCAGATTTGCACAAGACTACGATAAAGAATTGTACACAAAATGTAGTGCCTTCGGACAAATTCTAAATAGCGAAACCATGTTTATTGCATTTGAAGAGTAGATCTATCCATTTTCCGGTATTAGGCGGTTGAAGGTAAAGCAGAAGCAAATGTGGTAGACAGATACGCGCATGCGCATTCAGGAGGCGACTGTTTTTGTAAAGTAACGGAAACCTATCGCTGTTATGAACATCTTATATACAAACAAAAATAAAAAAATAGAATTTGATACTATAAAGAATGAACCAATTTATTAAGATTTTCATGCTCGCGGGTTGATATTTTATGAGAGAAAATTGCAGCGATGTTTATACATCTCTCTTTCTCATCCACTTTTCTCTTCCTCCTCCTCTAGAATTTGCTCTCCTAATTCTCCCTACGTTCGTTACTCCTTTCTCCTCTCCTCTTCTTTTATATTGTTCGCATTCATTATCTCCTCTTTTCTTTCTCTCTCACGTTAATAAACGCACACACACACACATATATATATATATATATACATACACCATGTTAGTGTACCTCGTGATGTTGTAATGGTCAGCAGGCTTGTCTTGCTAGAACAATTACGACTGAGTAGTGAGTTCTATCCTCACTGAGTACCCCATAATTTCGACCTTGTGCCATATTTACGCTTGAAAAATTTCTATATATACACCATGTCAGATTTTATAGTTCTCAATTCGGTATCTATGCTGGTGATACAGCTATTTATTCCTGTTTTAATAGTAAGCCTGAAGGGTTTGATAAGATCAGAATTGAAGCTTACGTAACAATGATCTACATACTGTTGTTAACTGGGGCAAGGAATGGTTTGTAATTTGAATGCTTCTAAAACGAATCTGTTCTCTTTTAATTGTGTTAGAGAATTCTTTTTATCTTTCATCAGCATGAAGAGGAGAGTGAATCATTGCACCTTCTCAGACTAACGTTTTCCGCTGACGTAAACTGGAAAGATTATATTGAATCAATTTTTCAGACTTCTTCTAGGAATGTTTGTTCCCTGTGTCGTGCTAGACAATTGCTCTAGCTAGAATCTAGCTTACATATTTATAAGTCTACTGTTCGTCTTTGTTTTGAATACAGCTGTCAGATGCGGTCTGATGGTTCTGTTGTATATTTAGAGATTCTTGATACAAATCCACTGCACCTCCAGTATCTGCAATGTTATTGGTTCTGACCAGACTTCCGGTTTCTTTGACAAACAAGGGTTATGGGACTCTTTCTCTGTTGAAATCATAACGAGTAAGTAAACAACAAGTCGGAAAACTGTGTTGTGACGCGTTGCATTCCGAAAAAGAATCTCTTTGGACAAAATAATGAATTTATTGATATAATCATTTCTGTATCCGAAGACACAAAATACAAAGCCAGTTATAGTTCA